GGGGGGGGGGGGTGTCTAAACATTCCTAAAGTGGTCATTTGAATTTTAAACATCGATGCAGAGTCGGATTTGAGTGAATTTAGTATGGATGGACTTATAGTTGAATGGGTGTCAGAAATTGTGAGTTTTGTTAGGTTTTAAGATGCAGGGCCGAGTTTAGTTTTTGGTTGACTTTGAGTATTTGATTAAGGATTCGACCTTTATCACTTGGGTTTTTTCCTAAATTATTATTTGATTTCTAAGTTTCTTTTGGCTAGTTTTGAGCCATTTAGAGGTTGATTTGCGCGGTTTGGCATTTCTAGAGTATCAGTTGGTTAGCTTGGTATTTGATTTGGCTTGCTTGAGGTAAGTATCTTATCTAAACTTGTTTGAGGCACTAGTTGCCTGAATTCTTTGTGATAGCTACCTGCTATGGGTGCGTATATGTGTGGTGTTTGAGCCCATGCGCGAGTACCAGGGTATTTATCCATGCTCAGGATAGTGCTAAGGCTATGATATGCCTAGAATTGGCTATTAAGTTGTAAGTTATAATGTTTCTCATATTTGTAACATTGTTGTGAATTATTTGAGCCATGTTCGAGGTTATGAAGAGGCTAATTCCCTGAATAAACTTGGTAATTGCTATTTCTGTGATGAAATTGCCGAATGAGCTATGATAACATGCTTTGCACATGCTTACACTTTAGCATGTAATTATACCAGTCCAGGAACATGAAATCTGATACTTATTCATCATATACGTGTGTTCTTGTATACTTGCTTTTGTGTGATATGATTTGAACTGGATCCCTGTGACCTTGCTGGGCGAATTGTGTTGTTATGCCTATGATTATGCCGGGCGAAATATGTTGTTATGCTTGTGACCATGTCGGGCAGATTGTGATATTTGCATGTGAGTTTACCGTACGGTTGATATTATTAAGACGTGAGTTGTTTGTGCAATGTGTTCATTCGGATCCACCCCCTAGGGTCACCCTCTCATGTTTCTCTCTTGATGGTGTACGCGCAGATTGTGAGAAACCGATGGGTTTCTAGTTGATGTGAGCTCTAGGAGAGCTGGTTACTATTATTTGTATCGGGTTTCATTCTGCAACATGCCTTATTGTCTCATTGCATTTCATCTTTATTAGCGCCGCAATGGGCTAATATTTGGTTATTGCATTTCATCTTTACTTGCAATTTCTTTGACTATTTACCTATTTGACTTGCATGTCTTCCTTATATGCTGGATTGTTGACTAAACAAAACACTTTAAAGCAAAGAATTATGAGCATCAAGGTGGTTTTACGTGAGATTTTCCTTATTTGATCATATATCTGTTTTATATTTGTTGAAATTATGAACTGTACAAGTGATAGGAAGTATCATTTATAGTTTTTGCTTCTAATATGTCACCGAAGTTTGTTAGGATAATTATTGAGTACATGGGGTCAATTGTACTCATACTACACTTCTTCACCTTGCATGTAGATCTTGAAATTGATGATGTTGTGTATGGCGGGAGATGGCATTGATGATGTACCCGCATTCAAGTTTTCGCTACCAATAGTTCTTAGTAGTTTTAGATTTGACATTTTATTCATGCACATTTAAAACATATGTCATATCAATTTTTATTCTATTTTAAATCTAAGTCTTAGTGACTCATGACTTGTACTCTAGTCGTTGGGAAGTTGTATAAATTCAGTTATTTCACTTTTGACTCTTATCATTATCCTTAAATTATGTTACTATTATTTGGCTTACCTAGCAGTTGCGTTAGGTGCCATCATAACTAGTGGGATTTGGGGTTGTGATAAGTTGGTATCAGAGCTCTAGGTTCATACGTTTTATGAGTCACGAGCAAATGTCTAGTAGAGTCTTGCAGATAGGTATGTTGATGTCCACACCTATTTTCAAGCATCTAGGATAAAATTTCGATCTTTCTTTCTTTATCGTACAACATCAATTCAGCTTGAAGTGTATCTCTTTGAATTCCTTCCATTCACTCGTATGCTAGGTGAGTGCTCGGTATCTGCTGTGCATCGACGACGTGTAATTCCATGGCTAAGGTGAGAGATGTTTTCTCTATGTTTTGTTGATTGGAGAAACTGGAGGACTTGAGGCCGGGTTTGATCGCAGCTTCGTCAAGGTGGTTTCAATTGTGTGAGTATGTGCTTGTTGGATTCATATGTCCGGTAGTGACCCAAAAGTGGGAATTACGGCTCGGTGAGTGGTTGGATAGCTATATAATGTGTATGATGTGACTGCATGATGTGTTCAGTTAGTTTTGAAATGACAAGAAGATTTTTCTTAGGATGCAAAAGGACTATGAATGTGTTATATAGTCTTGAGTTATAACTGTTTTGAGGGATTATTTCATGTTGTTCATTTGTGGAACGAAGTAGATTCTCATATTTTATTGACGAGTTCAGGCTTGGAAAGATTAAGTGATTGCGTAGTAGTTGTGGCCGTGAAAGAATATAGAGAAATGTCAATTTGAGGCCAAGTAGGTGGGTTATCACCTGCGGGGTAATCTATGGATGTGATCCTTATGATGTTGTGTGGAAAGTTTCTTTCTATTTGTGGGTTACATGTGTTGCTATTTGAGTTTGGATTTGTTGAGAAAGTTGATTTGACTATCGCGAGGATGAGTGCGATCTTAGTAGATGAGTTGAAGTATTTTATGGTCTGTGGTGCATGATCTTATGAAGAATTTAGTTGAATTTCAGTGTGGGATCATGGCAATACTAAAGTATGGTTATTGTGGGTTATCAGATGTTTTGTTCTATGATTTCGAGCCAAGTAGGGGACTTTGATATCGATGATTAGATTGCATGGTTATGTAATATATCGTTTATGGTCTGAGGCATACTTGTGGATTGGTTATGACTTGAAAAGGTTGATTTTGAGGGCGACTCATGTAAGGAAATTTTTGGATGCATGATATATTACACCTTATAGATATATGGAAGTCATAGAATGGTTTAGGTTTGTGGTTCGTGATGGATGTAAAATACTTAGAAGAGAGAGTCACTCAATTGCGTTAAGGCGAGGTTATTTTTTGGGTGTTGGTCTATTAATAGGGCATAAGTCGTTTGACTCATTTGGATGGTACATTTGAGATTAGAATGTGGTGGATGACTCTCGATAATGGTTCTACTGAGTTCAAGATTCATACGTGGCATTTGAGGGCTTTCCCCGGATTT